CACGACGGGCCTACATCAAACCGAGTGATTGAGTATCTCTAATCAAACAACTTTTACCCATGAACGCCATACCCGAAGGCCGAAAACCAGATCCGATGATCATATCACATCATATCGTACGGCAGCTCCATTACTTACTCTCCGAGATGATCAAAGCAGATACACGAAAGGATGTGAAAGGCTATGACTCAAACAAGACGCTTAGTCGAAGCTCTTCTTCTGTCCCTGGAAGTCGCCGAAGCCACCACGGTTGAATGAGCCACCGCGGCCGCCACGGTCACCGCCACGGCCACGGCCGCCTCCGCGACCACCACCGAAGCCACGGCCTCCGCCACGACCACCGCGGTCGCCGAAGCCACCACGGCCGCCGCCACGTCCACCGCGACCACCACCACGGCCACCGCCGAAGCCACCGCCGCCACCGTTGTCCTCACGAGGTTGAGCGTAGTCGATGCGGATGGCACGGCCACCGATGTCCTGGCCGTTCAAAGCCTCAAGAGCGGCAGTAGCCTCCTCCTGGGAACCGAAGTCGACGTATCCGAAACCCTTGAGGGAGCCGGTGTCACGGTCGGTGGGAAGAGAGACACGGGTGATGTTACCGTACTCCTGGAAGACCTCCTGGATGCTCTCGTTGGAGCACTCGAATGAGACGTTGCCGAGGAAGAGGGTACTGCTGGGAGGGCTGCGCTTGTCACCGTACTTGTTGGCACGGGCACCGTTGGCATCGGGCTTAGCGCGGGGAGTGCTGAAGTCGACGTTGAGCTGACGGCCGTCAAGCTCGTACTCGTGCATCTCCTTCTGTGCCTTGGCGGCGTCGGCAGCGTTGGCGAACTCGACGTAACCGAAACCCTTAGCACGGCCAGTCTCGCGGTCGGTGATGACACGGCAGCCAACAATCTCACCGAAGCCCTCGAACTCGCGGCGGAGCCAGTCCTCGTCGATGTTCCAGCTCATGTTGCCAACGAAGAGGTTCTTGATACCCTCCTCAGCGGCGGGCTCCTCAGTCTTGGTCTTCTTGACAGCGGGGGCAGCGGCCTCCTCGGCCTTGCGCTTCTTGGAGGGAGCCTCCTCGCTCTCGGAAGCGGAGGAGTCGTCGGAGTCGGCGTCAGAGGAATCGTCAGAGTCGGAGGTGGAGGTGGCCTGTCAAAGTTAGTCTACGTTGACTGATGGGAATATGGTGAACTAACCTCAGCCTTAGCGGCGGGCTTCTCATCCTCAGACTCGCTGCTGGAGTCGCTGTCGGAGTCGCTGGACTCAGCCTTGGCTGCGGCCTTCTTTACGCCGTTGGCCTTGGCCTTGGGCGCAGGCTTCTCATCCTCACTGCTGTCGCTGTCGCTGTCTTCCTCGCTGCTGTCGGAAGAGTCAGAATCGGAGTCGGCCTTAGCAGCGGCCTTAGGAGCAGCCTTGGCAGGAGTCTTCTTCTGCTCGACCTCCTCCTCGCTGCTGCTCTCAGAGGATTCTTCGCTCTCGCTCTCGCTCTCAGACGAAGAATCAGACTCAGGCTCTGGGGTGGGAGCCTTCTTCGACTTCTTCTTGTCCTTGACGTTGGAAGCAACTGACTTGGCAATGTCCTTGCTCTTCGACTTGGGAGTAGCAGCGGGCTTGGTGACGCGACCAGCCTTGACGCTCGCGAGCTCAGACTTCTTCTCCTTCTTGGACGACTTGTCCGCGACCTTGGTCTTGCCCATTTTGATGATAGGTAACTAGATCTACAACGTATTAGTATTGTGAAACGTGCGACGAGAGCGCCGATGATGTGCGACAGAAAAAGGAAAGAGAGGAGCCGACGGCATGATGCCGTCGCTCGGGCGCTGATGCCAAAAGGTCATCGTATGCGCCAGCCTGCTGGTCTGATTGTCTCAAATTGCGAAAAGCCCACTGGTATCTCTCGAGACCGCACGAAGCGGGTATCCCTCAAGCCCACGGAAAGCCCACAAGAGCCCACAGAAACCGAGCTTCAAGGCATGTGTCCCCACAAGCGCCGAGAAGACGGAAGATTAACCCTCATAGTAGCAAAAAGCCCTCAGGATGATCTTGCCTTGCCCTGACGAGCGGCAGGCGTGCCCTCTGTAATGTGTGTTAAGGAAAAGCCAAACGTTGCCCACTGACTTGTAATTTGATCTGGTACTGGATGTTGCCCTCAGTAGCCCACTTGAGAATCGCGAAAGCCCTCAGTGTAGATTTCGAACGGTGAAAGTTCGAAAGAAGTTGTGAAGAAGGTTGATGGTAGGTAGATGCAAATGGCTGGGAGCGCGCAGTTTATGTAGCGGAAGGATCAGCATCGAACTTTTCAGCGGATCTGGGGCCCGAGCGCGGCGCTAGGAACGCGTTTTCTCGAGGTACGCTAGATTCGCCCCACGCGAACTCCATCCAACGGCGACGGCGGTATTTCCCTCAGAGATCTCAGGGTCTCGAGATGACTGGGATTTATTGGAATGGAAAGTAGATGGAATGATTCTGGTGCGGAAATGCTAGGAATTCCACCCATTCAAACTTTCCTTCGGTACCTAGGTATGTCCTTGTGGGCTCGCGCTCGAATTTGAAGTCTTATCGCGAGGGACTTTGGGTGTGTCCTACCTATATAGAGGAGTTCAACCATGCACGAAGTCTTATTAGAGAACACACATGGTCTGCACAGCAGCAAAATGGATCAACCTCAGATAGAATGTTTGCCGAGGTTGCCCACTGTGCCCTCATAATGGTGCTCACAGCAGCTTGATCATGCCGCAACCTATATGTGATTGTGGCAGCATCAGTTGCCTACAAACGTGATATATACGTTACGGCTCCATCACGAACCAAAGCTACAGAGCAGCTAGTCTAGGTAATAGCCTGGACCAAGAGCGCTGACTCTTCTTCGTCAGAAGAGATCTGGGTATCGAACTCTTCAAGGGCTAACCTTGGAAATGCAGGGCACAAGCTAGCGCAGAAGCGGTAAAGCGTGGAATCTCCGCCACGAGTCCTCGATTCCGTCCGGGCCCTCACCAAGCTCACCTGGGCAGCTCCAACATGGCATCTCCGGCAGCCCATAAACCGCGACGGCGGCGAAATATTGGAGAGGGCTCTCTCGCCCAGGTTGCACACGGTACACTCGATCTCGACCATTCGACTAACGCACGGAAGCCCGCGTTTCCTCTCGTTGCGTTTCTCTGGCCAGCCAAGGGCACCGTCTCGCAATGGGTCACGATACCCCTCATCTTGATGGCAGTTGGCCTGTTCAGGTGGACTGTCAGTTTGTGGGGCTATTCTGGATTCCAGTCACCGCCAATGCACGGTGACTTTGAGGCCCAGCGGCATTGGATGGAAATCACCAAACACCTGCCCGTGTCGAAATGGTACTTTTATGACTTGCAGTGGTGGGGACTGGACTACCCACCTCTGACTGCTTATCATAGCTGGATACTGGGTGTCATGTATGTTGGAGCATTGGATGTCAAATACAAGTACTAATCGTTGCAGTGGTTCTGCCATCAATTCGAAATGGTTTGCTCTCGACGAGTCGCGGGCACTCGATGACCCTTCCCTCAAGATATACATGCGAGCCACCGTCTTCGTATCCGAATACCTCATCTACGTTCCCGCGACGATCATCTTCCTCCGCCGATACTCGCGACTAGAGGGGGTCAATATCTGGGAGTCGTCAATTGCGCTGGTCGCTATCCTGATGCAACCGGGGACCATATTGATTGACCACGGGCACTTCCAATACAACACGGTTATGCTTGGTCTCGCAGTCGCAACGCTCTCGAGCATGATCGCAGGGAGACCGCTGTGGGGATGTGTCTTCTTCGTTGGTGCGCTTGGCTTCAAACAGATGGCATTGTTCTATGCGCCTGCGGTATTTGCATACCTGCTGGGCATATGCCTCTTCCCCAGGATTAACATCGTGCGGTTTCTTGCGATCGCGCTGACTACCGTGGCCGCATTTGCTGTGCTCTTTCTGCCGTTCTTGATGGGGGTCGCATACGACAGATATACCCGCTTCAATTACGATCCTTTGGAGATGCCCCCGCTGCTGACCCTGAGATGGTTCATGACGCCGTGGAATATGAATGCCTGGTACTACCCATACGTTCTGGAGATGGGACAGGCGATCCACCGCATCTTTCCCTTCTCCCGTGGGTTGTTCGAGGACAAGGTTGCCAACATCTGGTGCACTATCCATACTTTCCACAAGCTTCATCGCTATCCGATCGAGCTACTTCAACGTCTCGCGCTACTCGCTACGACCGCCGCGATTCTGCCGCCATGTTTGATCATCTTTGTCAAGCCTAAGAAGCAGCTTCTTCCACTGGCGTTCGCAGCGGTCTCCTGGGGCTTCTTTCTCTGCTCATACCAGGTGCACGAGAAGAATGTCTTGCTTCCGCTGTTGCCAATGACACTGCTTCTTAGTGGAAAGGATGGCTTGCTACCCTCCACCCGCGCGTGGGTTGGTCTTGCGAACATGCTGGGCGTTTGGACAATGTTCCCGCTGCTCAAGAGAGACGAGCTACGAGTTCCATACTTTGTTATATCCCTCTTGTGGGCCTATCTTCTCGGTCTCCCCCCAGTTTCTTTCTCTGCCTACCACGAAGGCAGCCGGGGCGGACTGAATATATTCAGCAAAATCCTCCACCTCAACATCTACCTGGCCATGATTGGATGGCACGTTGCGGAGGCCTTTTACCCTCCCCCAGCTGATAAACCGGACCTCTGGGTGGTCGCGAATGCGATTGTTGGGACGGGTGGCTTTGGTATTTGCTACCTGTGGTGCTTGTGGCGACTTATTGTCAAGAGTGAGTTGTTTGGAGCAGAAAAGAGCAAGACGCAGTAAAAGATTGGTGGATGTTCGTTGGTGCTATTCAGCACTTCTTCAAGATACCCAGGTAGATCATGGAGGGAAGATTTTGGTTCCTCATGTATAGTATTATTGTACATCGAATCTAAAAACGCGTATCGTGCGCAACGCCACCCATATGCTCGTGTTGTACATGTCGTATACATTTCCGTTTTTCATTGCGCTATATCTTGAAGCCGTATCCAGCCATGCACTTCTTGTAGTCGTCGACGAGGGTGAAGCACTCTTTCTGGGGGTCGTTCGATGTCGAGAAGAGCATGCATTCGTCGCGTTTAGCCTTCTGGTCTGTGCAGACACAGCATGCTATTCGATAGTCAGAACTAGAACAGGAGGTACCAAAAAGTTGGGTAGAAACTCACGCTTAACCTTCGCTGGCGCGGCGGTGTCCTTGAGGTCTGAGCCCATGTTGGCAGCGGTTGGCGGTGCTAGAACGCCATCAATTAGCTACTCTGCGTCGCATACATGCCATCATCAAACCGCAAGCATACCTGACGACATTGTGTGTGTGGGTGTGTGGTGGAGGTGAATTGAAGATGCTTAGCAATCGCAAAAGTTCCCAGGACATGTCATCGGACTCCCGCGGCGCTCCATACGCCACACGAGGGCTTGCACGGTTCGGCTAAAACCAACCCTGCAGGCGACAGGGGGTTCTAGACAATGAATCTCAATCAACCCCACTACGTTTTGCGCCCCACGACTCACACTATAAAGTATAAACAACAAACCCACCCCCCTGTTGTGCTGCTTTCTGCTACTATATCCTCACTGTAACTTGCAACGGGGCGTGCGAAAACATGGCTGGCGCAAAGATCTTTTCTATCGAGGGCAAGGGCCTCAAACTCACCACCGCCGAGGATATTGAGCCGCACATCCAGGACCTCAAGAGCAACGATGATGTAGAGGAGATCAAGTTCTTGGGCAACACTCTGGGTATTGGAGCCAGCGAGGCGCTTGCTAAGGTCTTGGAGAGCAAGAAGAACCTCCAGGTATGTTCACAGCCCCGCTCATCGGCGCTGGGATGCCAAAGACGGACTGACTGACCCAAATCGCAGGTCGCAAACCTCGCCGACATCTTCACCTCGCGTCTCCTCTCTGAGATCCCGCCCGCGCTATCCCACCTCCTCACCTCGCTCCTCACGCTACCAAACCTCCACACCGTCGACCTCTCGGACAACGCGTTCGGCCTCAACACAGTTGCCCCGCTCGTAGACTTCCTGTCGCAACACACCCCACTCCGCTACCTATACCTCAACAACAACGGCCTCGGACCCGCCGCCGGTGTCCTCGTCGCCGATGCGCTCACCGCACTCGCCGCCAAGAAGGCCGCGGCGCGCAAAGACGGCAAGGAAGTCCCCGACCTCGAACTCGTAATCTGCGGTCGCAACCGCCTGGAGAACGGCAGCATGGGCGCATGGGCAAAAGCCTACGCGGCCAACACGGGCGTCAAGACCATCAAGATGACGCAGAACGGTATCCGCCAAGAGGGTATCTCGCACCTCATAACCAACGGCCTCGCCCACCTCTCCAAACTAGATACCCTCGACCTCCAGGACAACACCTTCACAGCCATGGGCGCAAAAGCCCTCAGCAGCGCCGTCGGCAACTGGACTGAGCTCCGCGAACTCGGCGTAGGCGACTGTCTGCTCAGCGGCCGGGGCGGCGTCGCTCTCGCTGCTGCACTAGAGAAGGGCAACAACAAGAAGGTTGAGGTCCTCCGCCTCCAGTTCAACGACATCAACGCCAAGGGTCTCGCTGGCCTCGCCTCCGCGTCTCACACCGCACTTCCTGCACTGCGTCGCGTCGAGATCAACGGCAACAAGTTCGACGAGGAGGACCCCAGTATCGAGAAACTGCGCGATGTCCTCGATGCGCGGAAAGAAGAAAGTGGTGAGAATGCGGACGACGACGAGTACTGGGGTCTCGACGAACTGGACGAGTTGGATGACGACGACGAAGATGAGGAGGAGAGTGATGCGGAGGAGAAGCGTGGGGATGCTGATGATGACGAAGAGGGCGTCGAGGTTGAGGAGAAGGCTGCGAGGCAGATTGCCGAGGATAATGAGGCTGAGGAGAGTAATGTGGGTCAGGAGAAGGATAAGAAGGTTGATGATTTGGCGGATATGATGGCCAAGACAGAGATTAAGTGAGGGGATGGAGAGTGCACTGGAGGGGACCTTGTCATGCATTTAGCGGCTTGGGATGAGGATGGCTTTTTGAGTAGGCATGTAGGAATTGATACCATAGACCTTACTTCTGTTGAGTGTACACGAGCTGCCCAGGTGATCATGCCTTAGTACATGATGTTCGGTGGAGGTGTCCAAATTACAGTGTAGTGCGATGTTGCTCTGTACAAAGATTGAGAGGGCAAAGTGTGGTTCATTAGGGTGTCCAGCGGACGGGTCATCTATGTGTAGGTTCGTGACCTCTATGCCACCTGCCCATGTCCGGTTATAGTGAATCTCGAATATCACCTACTCTTCTACCATCTTAGATACATCCCCGACATTCACGGACACTCCTATCATGTCACCCCCATGTCTCACTGCCTCATCGATCGTCCGCGTCATAGCTTGGCTCGGCCAGCAACTTTCCGTTCTCGTCCACTCGACCATGACCGTCCCGCACGAGCCTCTTCGTGTGGGTTTCGTGCTCGTTATCCTCAAGCTCCTCATCAACCTTGTTAAGGTCCTTGTCGGGCTGTGACTGCTCTTTGCGGTGCTTAGTCGCGGAGGAGTTGGAAACATCGCTGAGAGACTCTTGTCTACGGGAAACGAAGGACTGCGCAGTGGGGCTGAGTCCGCTCTTCTCGGGGTGGCCGTTGGTCGGCATCTCTTGCGGCTGGACTGTTTTGGGGTTTGGTTGAGTAGAGAAGCCGTTCTCTCCCTTGGGCGAGACAGCAGAATTACCGTCTTGTAGATCGCCGTGATGTTTGGAGCCAGACAGTGTGTCACGGGAGTTGATGCTCTCGCTACTGGCGCAGGGACGTTCATCGCTGGCGCGAGCACTTCCGTTGCTGGCGTGCGATTCACAGAGCCCCAAGCATACATGTTCCTCAGTGCCGCGGTTGGCACGAGCATCGAGAGTCTGTGGATCATCCATCCCCGATGCGGCGGCAAAGCCCGCCTCGATCTTAGGCCTCATAGCCATCTCCGCATTATGGTAGTCATCTTCCTTCTCTTGACGAGACCGTTGCTGAGGTGACGTGAAGTTCCTACTGTTGGCACGAGATCTTCCGTTGACAGGGCTCAAGATAGATCCAGTGCTGCTGCTCAGTGATAGTTGACGCTCACGTCTGGCTGCAACAGACTGGGCGACAGCGGCGATGCCGCCCTTCTCGGTATGACCGTGGGCGCGGGCCTCGAGAGAATGGAGATGATCGGCTTCAGCCTTGGTGACAGTGCCTTGCGCAATCTTGGGTTCGATCTTAGCGATTTCCTCCTGGAGCTCGGCTTCGACTTCAGGGTGAGGAGCATTGGTATGGCCGACGGCCTTTTGCAGTTCTATAGATTGTCAGTGTTTGTCTTGATGTGGAGCGAAGGATCAAGCGGGATGACATGTGGAAGTAGGCACGTACTGCTAACGATGCTCTGGGCAACACGAAGAACCTCGGTGGTCGCCTCATCAGGGCTGCCATCTACAGCGATATGCAGGTCCTTGGCGGCCATCAGCAGGGAACGATGAGAAGCCTGAGCTTGACTGGATCCCTTCTAATCCACACCTTGTTAGCAATAGCTAGGGATTCGACGGCAGAGATAATGCGGACCGCTCTGTCGTCACGTGTAGCGACGTTCTCAGATAGAATACGGGCTTCCTCGGCTGTGATGGTGCTCGGGTCTTTTCTCAGCTTCTTGAGGATGGCTTCCAATTGGTCTTGGAATCGCTGCGAAAGGGTGGTAGCATCGCTGCTCGCGTCAGAGGACACCTTCTCGCTGAGAATGTCGCTCATGGTGACTGATAGAGGTAGGGCTGTAGGTGATGCTTGAGTAGAAGAAGCGGTGGCTTGGAGCTGTAGAGAAGAAGGTGAGGTGGTTGTTTGTGTTTGCGTGCTTTATCTGTGGCGATGACGTTGCGGGATCGCTTATAGAAGGAAAGTGCAGGTGCAAACAATGAGATCGGATGACTCTGACAGCGGTTCTTTCCTGATGGAAACGAAAGCGTCAATGTCTCCATGATGTGTTGCGGAGCAATTCTCCGCATCGCAGTCGCCTCTCTAAAACATGCATTCGATACACGCTGCGACAACGCAGGTAAACCATAACATCACATTAGATAAAGAGAGAGAGAGAGATTGAGATTGGAAAATAACAAGCACATGACGGTTGGAGAATTATAAAACTTCAACTCCAGTAATCAATAGAGACATTATATGACTGAGCGTGAAATCAATCTGAACATATTGTTACATCTTAATAATGATGGGAAAGTCTTGCAAAGACACGCAGGCCTCAAAAACATGTAAAAACATCAATAAGCATCCAAATCATTCTCCAATTCTGTCAACTCTTCCCGTTTCCGGTCAGCTGTTTCCTCGCTGTCGTCCGAGTCGCTTGCTAGATCCTCGTAAAGAACTTCCTCACCATGCTCTTTGACGTACTCATCAAACTCATCATCTTGTTTTGCAAGTCCAATCTCTACCGCCAACTCATCTTCGGCGGAAAGGGGGGCCATCGCCAAACCACCTTGGTCGGGGTCGCGTTCAAGACCATGACCGTAGGGCTCGTCATCGCCGTCTTCTTCTGAATCGTAGTCCTCGTCGCTACCGTCAGGCGAAACTGATTTTTCGTCTTCGCTAAAGTCATGTCCTTCGGTAGGCATCGGTGCTGGAGCGATTTTGCTGGGTTGCTGCACTTCGGTGCCACTCTTCTCATCGAGGTCTTTGGCTTTCGCATATTCCTGCTGCAATGCGACATCGTCATGTGGTTCAGTGCCAGCTGGGGCGGGTTCTGTAGCTCCAATACTCTCTAGCCCCGCTGTTGATGTTGTTGGGTCCGTAGTGCCGACTTTCTTGGCTTTCTTCACGCCATTAGATGGCTCGCTCGATACGTCGGGGTCTTCGGAAGCTGCGCGCTTCAAGGCTGATGTTTCCGTCATGGTGGTGATTCAGACTTACGAGATAAATGTGAGGGAAGTTCAAAGTTCGAAAGGTCGACGATGGAAGTTAATAGGGGCTGGGATCAGCATGATGACGGAAGAGGTCCTTCGCAGCCCTCCATGGATCGGGAGTGATATCCCAGCTGTGGCGCAGATGAGCTAACCTACCTGGTTGACACGACTTATCGATTTGTCGAGTTAGGAGTTGGGACCGTAAATCGAGCTTAGGAATGAAGAAATTGAGTTGAGAGTCCTGGAGGTCAGACGAGATCTCTCGACGTATTTGAAGCTGTGTTCATGTCTTTAGTCTATACAAATCAGTGCCCGCCACGCTGTGGAGCAATATGAGAGATTGTTAATAACCCATGCTCTGCTCAACCGGGGGCGTCGCGCGAGAGCGTTAAAGTCACGGGAAATTTATTACGAAGTGGTGACAATGAAATGCCCGCAGATGACTGCAAGCGATACTTTCCGTTGCTATAGCCGTTGGTGAAAGATGGTGGTTTCCTTACCTCGCGATGCGCGATGACGCGGCCACTGCCGAAAAGCCGAACAGCAGGGATGTCTCCTCACTAGCCCCACCGAAATCCAGCTGTCAAGCCTCAGCTACCCACCACCCTCTGCCTGATTCAATGTCCTGCGCCACATATATGTCTACGGAGCCAGAATGGTCAGCGCCCAAGATGTTGCGGCTCGCCAGTCGCACATGGGGACAGACGATCAGGAGCAAGCGCAAGCCGCGCAGATGATCCAGCGCAACTATCGCGGCTACCGGGAGCGCAGGCAGCTTCAAGGCATGGGCCTGGATGCTAGCGCACGGTGGGCAGAGGTGGGAGACGTTCGCACTACATAGAGAGGTGTGGCTAATGGTACCAGGCGATACGCGACGGTTAGCAGTCCACCACCCTCTCTACTGCGCCCAAGCTAAACCTCTCAAGCGAAATGGCGCAATGCGACGAAGCCCAAGCCGCGCTCGGAAGACGCGGCTCTGCGCGACAACCTCACTACTCCCGAAGCACGTGAACGAGCGAACTCCATAGCAGCGCGCGAGAAGTGGAAACGAGTCGGCGAGATTGCGCGACGAGCGGGCGCTGACGATCCCCACGATGCCTCAGAGACGGACGACGAGGATGCGCCCGAGAACCACACGGAACAGCGACGGAAGCAGAACGAGTCCAAGGCGGAGCGTGAGAAGACTGCCAAGATGATGGACCTCCAGTACTTCCTGGAGATGGTGGACCAGAAGCATCGCTACGGCAGTAATCTGAGAGCCTATCACGAGCAGTGGAAGAAGGCAGACACTCACGAGAACTTCTTCTACTGGCTCGACCATGGCGAGGGTAGGCACTTTGAGCATCCCACCGTCTCTAGAGAGAGGCTCGACACAGAGCGCGTGCGCTACCTGTCGCGGGAGGAGCGTCAGAACTACCTAGTCACCATCGACGACGAAGGTCGTCTATGCTGGGCGAAGAACGGAGAGCGCCTAAACACGACCACGGAGTACAAAGATAGTGTCAACGGTATTGTACCGGTCGACGATGACACTCCTGCCTACGGTCCCAAAGCAAAGCTGCACTCTGGACAAAGCAAGACCCTGCGGCGAAGTTCAATGATCTCGGTGAGCTCAAGCTCGTCTATATCTGAGAGCGATGCGGAGGCAGAGGAGGCAGAACACTACGTCAATGAGGACCTCGACAAAGCTAAGGGCGTTTCGAAACTCAAACATGTGTCAGCCGCGACTATTCTGAACCACCTTCTCCGTAGTTCAGTGAAGCCGAACTCATGGATATTCGTAAGATGTGCACTCTCCTCCGTTGGCCAGATGTACTAAGCAAGCACAGGTAGCCGACACATCCTTCCGCCTGTACGTCGGGATCAAGCAATCGGGTGCTTTCCAGCACAGCTCGTTTCTCCACGGTGCGCGCATATCTGCCGCAGGTCTGATCAGAGTCAAGGATGGTCAGCTTCGGCGCCTCTCACCCCTGTCCGGCCACTACCGCCCGCCGACGAAGAACTTCCGTGCGTTCGTACATTCTATGAAGGAGAACGGAGTGGACATGTCGCGTGTTTCCATCTCCCGGTCGTATGCTGTTCTCGTCGGCCTTGAAGCTTACGTTAAGACACGCAAGAAGTTCAAGCATGGGGTTGAGCACGTCAAGGAGGCCGAGACAAAGGTCGTGCACCCGGAAGAATACGAACGGAAGGTGGAAGAGCAAAAGGATAAGAGCGAAAGCGCGCAACGAGAGCGGCAGTTACTTGCGCAGGAAGCAGAGCGGAAAGAGGCAGAGAAGAAACAGACTAGTCTTGGACGGCGAATATGGAAGAGGCTCAGTCGAGACCGCGGTGAGAACGGCGACCTGACACCCAAAGAACGGGAGGCCGCTAAGCAGAAGAGGAAGAAGTGGTTGAGCAAGTCGGGGGAAGACGTCGAAGATGGGATTGCGCCTGACGGACGTCGGGAGTCTGCCCCCGCGGTGTGAGCGGCTGGCTGCGATGCGAGCTACGAAGCGGGCTGCTACTGTTCCTGCATGACCCCATACTCACCTCCCTGCCTTTTACCTGTGGCTTGATTTTGCGTGGTCATGATATCCTCTCTTGTCGATTTGCCTAGAACCATCGGTAGACCTGAAGTCGTAGGACGAATAGCATTCCTAAAGATAGCATGCATGTGGCATTGTTCGCGCGTGTCATTGCACGATTATCGCGCGATCAACGTCCGTCTATCGAAAACGCAGAATCCAGGAACCAGAAAGCAGGTAATGGCTTGACTCGGTGGCGGACAATAATTTTCCAAGCGTGCGGACCCCGTTCCGTGCCGCCATCATTCTTACGAACGGCGGCGACTGACATCATACGCGTCGTCACGGACCCAGATTTCCCATGTTTGTTTTGGGGGTTGGGAAATGTGTCTTTCTTTGACAACCTGTTATTTTGGCATGACTCGGCAGCGGGCAGGATAGGGGTACCTGAGATGAAGTGATCGATCGTGCGTCTGCGCAGAATTGCTTGTGCAGTTGTGGCGCGAGGATAATTATGGGTACGACGGACATGTCTCGATCGAGACGGCCTGTCGTGATCGAAACCACGTTGCGCATACTCCTACGGTAGACAGCTAACAGCTGCAAGTCAGGGTCAATGAATTGCCCGGGGGTAGGTACCACGGGAATATAACGATTGGGTTTGCTGCAGCCTCTTAGCGGTGCGTGGTGTCACTCGCAGTTGGGATGCGGCCAACGTCCCGACCGTTGCGCTGGAGCCCCGCCGTTCATCGCGGCACAGTCCAACTTCATCAAAACCACAGCGCAGGTCTCTTCGGACATGAAGCTATTCGGCATCACTCTTCCGAATTCCGTCGTTCCTGATCTCCGCCCGCCGCAGGGTCCCTCATCTCCCATGCCGTCTTGCATGTCGCGGTGATGGCTGGTGGTGCTCACGATGGTGGTACCGAAGACTGGTAGCATGCAGCGATCGGCCGCCAAAAGGAAGCTACGACCCCGCTAAGCGACGTTTGAGCAGGGGAGCTCCCGACACCATGACGTCAGACGCCCGACAACATCATACGCGTCGCTGCAACCTGCTTGCACACACGGCACGACTTGCTCTTCCATCCTGCTGCATGCGCCCTAATGATAGGAGGGAAACACGCCCGCCAGGGATTCTGTACCCGATACTCGACAAGGCCAGCCACAGTGCTGTCGATCGGGCCTGGGCTCTGTGTGCTTTTGCTCCACCAGCTCGTTTCGCACTGCACTCATGCCTGCGAAGGCGTATCGACAGCCCGGTATTGGCCTGCCTGAGATGACACATGTCTCCCCAACCTCACTTCCTGCATGCCATTGGTATCCTTCCTGCAAACTAACCTCGTCCAGTGCAAAGAGTACCGTAGGCAGCCTTTTCGCTAGAGCGTTTCAGCTCCACTTCCGGCTGCACTTCAACTCCAACCCTGGCAGCAGCCCGCTCTCCGCGGTTCATCGACGATGTTAGGCCATCCCATTTCCAGCCACAGGCCGTTCCCACCCCTGTTGCAGCAGCTACCCGCTTGTCTCACCACGCTGAGTGGAGGCCATGCCACCAGGATGCGCTGACGCCCCGCTCGAGGCTGGAGCTTGTGAGTAGTGTGACGCAATACTCCTCCTGTTCGTTGCACACACTATGGCGCCAAAGCAGGTTTACTCTGCCTCTCCACAACTGAGGCGCAAGCTCTTGCTCCTGGAAACCAGCATTCGACGTCATCCGTTCCAGCATGCTCAATTGAGGAGTAGTTATCATAAATGCCTGCTTCTCTGTGATCCTTCCGCACTTTCTGATCCCTACAAAGACGAACCATTCGTCAATTGATATATGACAGACGAACACTTTTCCTCCCACAACTACTCGTACTACTCTTTCCCCCCAACCCCTAATAGACATTCCCCCCGGTCTACACGCTCTCAGTCTATATCAAGCAACGTATCAGGAAGCGGCCATCATCGAGCTACTTCCTACAGCACCTCATCCTACACAGTGAATCACGGACACGACAACTCCTACAACGTCTCGAGCGTTCTATTCAACAACATGCCTTCCCCAGCAGCTGGAAAGGGTGACACCCCCCGCACCCCTACCAAGCTCGGACGAAAGCCTCAATCATCTGCCCCCAAGCTGAACAAGCCCAAGTCGGAGGACGCCCCCACCCCCGATGTGCCTGACCAAGCTGAGGACGTGAAGAAGCAAGGAGAGGAGAAGGCCGAGGACACCAAGAACCAGGCACAAGACACCGCCGAAGACACCAAGCAAAAGGGCGAGGAGACTGCCCAAGATGCTAAGGGCAAGGCGGAAGAGGCTGCTGAAGACACCACCGGCAAGGTTTCACAAGCTGGTGACGAACTAGAGCAGGCCGACCCTAAGCCCATTGACGACGACAACGACGCCGACGAGGAGGCTGAGGAGACAGGCGACGACGCCACACACAAGGCAGGAGACGATGCGGAAGACACCGCAGAGGACACTGCCGACAACAC